AAAGCAGGTAATACAATTATTGTTGTGATTGTTGTTGTCTTACTCCAATATTCCCATGGAGAGGATACACAATAGAGAGGAGAGTGGGCAGTCTAGTCCTGTTCCCATCTGGATTTTGCACCAATTCATTAAATCTCTATTTACTAAGGAGAGGCGGCCCTAGGTAATTTTCAATGGTAAGCAAATAGTATTTTGGTGCCCCCCCCCAACCAATCACTGAAATATATTTTCTGTTCTTTAATCGAAATGTTAGTATAGAGGTCATACAAAGTTCAAGGTTTTGGCTTTTTGAAAAGTCGTTATAATAGCGAGCTTGCATAGGAAGTTGGTTTGTGGTTAAACGCAAAGTTTGCCGGTGCAAGAAGGTACTTTCCATCAAGAGGTTGATGGGACAGGAAAAGTAAGGGTCAAAGTATTTTCCATGACAAAAATATTCTTGTTTACCTGAGGGTACATAAAAGTTTGCAAAAACAGAGGAGGGGGAGGCAGTCATTCGCAAATACTGGTTTGGCTTTTTGAAAAGTCGTTATATTAGTGAGCTTGCACAGGAAGTTGGTTTGTGTTTAAGCGCAAAGTTTGCCGATGCAAGAAGGTCCTTTCCATCAAGAGGTTGATGGGACAGGAAGAGTAAAGGTCAAAGTACTTTCCATGACAAAAATATTCTTGTTTACCTGAGGGTATATAAAAGTTTGCAAAAACAGAGGAGGGGGAGGCAGTCATTCGCAAATATTGGTTTGGCTTTTTGAAAAGTCGTTATATTAGTGAGCTTGCACAGGAAGTTGGTTTGTGGTTAAGCACAAAGTTTGCCGGTGCAAGAAGGTCCTTTCCATCAAGAGGTTGATGGGACAGGAAGAGTAAAGGTCAAAGTACTTTCCATGACAAAAATATTCTTGTTTACCTGAGGGTATATAAAAGTTTGCAAAAACAGAGGAGGGGGCAGCAGTCATTCGCAAACCTTGGTGCCTGTGTGCAGAGGTGGCTCTAGGTAATTTTCAACAATAAGCAAACAGTATTTTGGTCCCTCCCCCCAACCAATCACTGATATATATTTTCTGTTCATCGTGGAGAGTTCTGTGTGCCATATTTGGTTCAATTCCATCCTTGGTGGAGTTCAGAATGCTCTTTGATTGTAGGTGAACTATACATCCCAGTAACTACAACTCGCATATGTCAAGGTCTATTTTCCCCCAAGAGCGCCTCAAGAGCACCCCTGGGCAACATCAACTCTACCGCAAAGGCTTACTTTGCATAATGGTTGAGCTGCCCCTGTTAATAAGATGTTTGCAATGTCCTGATCCAGTGCTAAAACCACAACCCTTTGATGGCACGTCCTCAACTGTCGAGATTTTCCCTTGTGCGCTACTTCATCCTTGCTGTTTCCCAGCTATTCCCGATATTTCCATTCCAGCCCCCAGATAGGCACCTCACCCTCTCCTTGAGAAGTGCATCGCCTTGATGGACGTTGGTCAGGGGTCCCCTTGAAAACCCGTTCCCTGGAACAGAAGAAAACGGGCAAGTGATCGTTTGGTTAAAGGGAATTTCACACTTTTATCCAGCCTTTTTCTACATTGCCGATCATTCTAAATTCTAAACCTTCATCTACTGAATTGGACATGGTTCTCAATAAATGTAAGAATGGCAAAGCAGCTGGCCTGGATGATCTACGGATGGAACACATCAAGAACTTTGGCCCAAAAGCAAGGCGCTGGCTGCTGGAGCTGATGAACAACTGCACTGCATCCTGTCAGATTCCCAAAATCTGGAGGAAAGCAAGAGTCATCGCCATCTTGAAGTCGGGCAAAGACCGCAATGACCCGAAAACTACAGACCAATCTCCCTGTTGTGCCACCTCTACAAAGTTCTGAAGAGACTTATTTTGCATAGAATTACGGAAAAAATAGACCCCTGTCTGATCCCACAGCAAGCTGGCTTCACTAAAGGCAGAAGCTGCACATCGCAAGTGCTGAACCTGACTCAGCACAGAGAAGATGGCTTTGAAAGGCAGCAG